AGGAAGGAAGGAAGGAAGGAAGGAAGGAAGGAAGGAAGGAAGGAAGGAAGGAAGGATCGAAGGATCCTCCCAGCTAGACATGCCAGGTAGGTTATGTGTGAAGGAAAATGTGATCCATGACTGCCTGGCAAAAAGGAGAGGGGACTGGCATAAATGCAGCAGAACCTAACTTCCGTCTGTTTGGCTGCGGGGGGCACAGTGGGAATAGCCCCTCCGCTTCCTCTAAAGAGGAAACTTGCAAGATTTGGATTAATTAAAGGAGTTTTACACACACTACCTTGGCTGTGAGATTGAGCTGGTAAACTGAAGGCACTTTGCATATTCTCTAACAAAGGACATTTATGCTACTGTAGGAATTCCCTAACTGCAGGTCGAATAACATGGCTGGTCCTTGTGTGCAACCCCAAATGAACACATAGATATTCTTGGGAGCCTAAACTATTTATTTACAGAGGAGGCTATCTGTTGTGTCTCTGGGTGATCTGCTGTTCTGGCTTTATTGTCCTTTTGTTTGGCTGGACATTAGGCAGCCATGAATGTTGTTGTATTTTTGCATTGGGATTATTCTCGCTTTCCTGAACTGGGCAGACCACAAAAATAACTTTTAGTTATGTAGATGCTTAATATCACCCTTTCAGTTGGAAGGCTGTAAGTCGATGCTCACAGACTATCAACAGATGGAGAAAGATGCTGCTCCGGTTGGATGCACGGCTGCAGGAGTGAGGCGTTGGGAGAGAAATTTCCCGGCCTTCTGGAGAGTCTCTAGCAATGGGTTCAAAAGACGTCCTCTGCTACTAAGCAGTAGGGTTTTCGCAAAATAAAACGATGTGTGATTTCTGCATCTAGGGTTGGAACCCTGCCTCTATTTCTGCAGCTAAATTTCCATCTAGGAGGGGTTCATAGCTCCAAGAGGAGAGGAAAAAACAAAGCTGGATGAAGCTCCAGTGCTGACCATGAAGTCCAGAAAGCAGACTTCCAGAATGGGAAAGACGAGGCAACGGACGAGGGAACGGAAGCAGAGACGCAATTTTCAGCTAGTGGCTTCCATCCTGGTTCGCAGACAGGTGAACTCTTGAAGAGAAGAGAGACCACGAGCCACCCCCAATCTCATGCCTTAAAGGATCAGGGTCTCCAATTTCAAACCCTGGATGGCTAGCTGCGGGGGACGTTTGGAGTGTCCTATCCTTGGTTTCTGAGTGTGACGGGGGATGAAAAAGGTATCGCCAGGTGGTCTTGTGGTAGAGAGATCTTGAGCGTGGCTTTCATAACTTCTGGATCTTTCTCACGCACAGACTCAGCTGTTAAGAGGGCAGAGATCACCGCAAAGAGGCACTACGGGATCCTCCCCTTCCCAGCTCAGGGATGGCCCTTCCACCCACACCTCTGCTCACACCCAGCTGGAGGAACTCTAGTGTTGGCTAGGAAGTCCCTTCCCAAGTGAAATAGTGGCAGAGAAGTCGGGTGACTGCAGCAATAATAATAAGCTGTTGGGGGGGGGAGCAGGGCCAAATGACATCATATGCATCATGACATCGTTGTTGCACAAATGATACAAATGACACAGTTCACATCATCCCTTCCCTTCCCTTCCCACATCCTCAAGTTTTTGGATTCCAAGTCTTCCAATCGTTTCTGAGTTTGGTTTCTGGCTTCTCTTCTGCAGATTAGAATGTGGTTATTTTTATCTATCTGGTGGATATTCTCATCTGCTGCTGAGAAAGGAAAAAGAATTGTGAGTGGGTGTGCAGGTGTGTGTTGGCGTGTATGTATGTGTGTATGTATGTGTGTATAGATAGACAGGCTTCTTTTGTCGTATGTGATCATGGCTTGGTTTTTCTTTTTTTTACTTCTAATTAACATTATTTGATTTTTTTTTTTTTAAAGCAGATCTGGTTTTATTGTGACCTCTGTTGGATTAATGTTGATGAAGAAAAACACAATGCAAGTGATTGAAATTAATTAGGGAATTCAATAAAGCAGCATTTGCGTGCATTCTCGTGACTTCCTTGCGTCTGTGATGTAAATTGTACATATTTGCATATCGTGTACATGTTAATGCCAAAAGGCAAAGTCAAGACTCGATCCCCATCATTACCACTGTCCAGACATCTTTGTTTAAAAGAGCCAATGTTGAAAAATAACCAAATGGTGCCCATTTAGAGGTGGGTCGTTGTGCTGTTAATTACAATTTGCCTCGCAGACAGTCTGGGAAAAGGGGGCATCGGTTGCCGCCACCCACATTTTGTGAAAGAGCCACAGTGTCATCAGGGACACTGCTGAGAAAGGGAGTGTCTTTCTCATGTTCGGAGAATAACAGGGAAGGGCTACTCCATCTTCCGCAACCTGTTCGCCACCATTACCCCCCAACACACACACACACATTTCATTGTCCTGGATTTCAACCTCCCCAGTCCCTTTTTGGAGCTGACTAGAGGGGTGAGAGTTGAACTGAGACGGTTGTGCCGCATCTTCAAAAAAAGCACAGTCTTCTTTCCTTCATTGGCGTCAACCCTTCGAGGTAGGCCAGGTCAGAAAGCAGACTCCACAAGGACCCCTGGAACTCTATCATTATAGGGTATAACAACAGAAACGTGAATGCCTGGCAGAGATCCTCTCTCTTCCTGCTCTTATACCAAGAGAATACGGAGGTTCTTTCTCACTCACTCCTCCTTTCTGGGGCTAAGCCTGGAACAACCGAACGGCTTTCACGTTCCTTCTTCGAGACCGTCCCCTTACTCCCCTGCAACTGGCCATGTGTAGTTGCTACAAATCAGACTGCTTTCAACCCAGCATTCGAAGCCACAGTTTCCAGTTCACGTTTAGAGCAAATGATGGTTTGCGGTGAAAGTGTATGACATTTATCACCCACCAAGAGGTCAGCTTATATATGGTATCACGAAAAGAGAGGCAGATCAGAGAGGAGGGAGCGTGCGAGTCTAGGGATGACCTGCAAGCTAGTTTTTGGCACAACCAGGACCTTTTGGTCCACCGAATGCGAAGGGCCCCAGATACAAATCATGTCACTCTGACTGCGTTCAGGCATAACCCTCATGATGTGCAAACCCAGCATAGGCTATGGATGTTGTATAAACTTACCCGGCTGGGATTTTATTTAATAAAATATGGTTAAACAAACTGTGGCTTAGTGTAGCATGTAGATCCAAGTATTTATGTTCTGTACTGTACCTAAAAGACACTTTTAAAAAATATATATATTAAGATATATTTTTGCGACTTCAGGGTTGTACTCTCACAAAGATGAAGAGAGAATTCGAAGTCAAGATAACTACATTAATATGCAGCAGACTATTTTTAGCATTGAACTGTAACAGTACACTAATTACCGACTTGGTTGGTGGACATCTCGATGAGGTTCCTCCCCAAGGCTTTAGAGATGGGCCAAGGCAGGTCAACAGGGAGGTAGTTCACAGTTTCAGGACCACCCCTGAGAAGTCCAGTCTCTGGGTCTCTCGGTGACACGGTGGGCTGTTGGAAATCCCTGCTGAGAAGGACCTTAGCACACTGGGCGGAATTAAGTGTGCAACGGTGGTCCTTCCAGTGCTTCTGTGCAGGTTCTTCGCCACCGTGAAAGTGCTCCTTGCTTGTGACTAGATAAGAAAACCCAGCCCGTGTCAGGGCTGGCTGGTCGTGGTTCTTGTTCGTGTCTCTGCTCTGTCTGAACTGTGCCTTTCCTTTCACAGCACTGCCAGTTAATTTGGGGGGTTCTAATGTCTGCAATTATGTTTTTACAAATGTGCAGAGTGGCCAGCTGAGTGGAGCATGGAGTGAGCAACCTGAGGTTAAATTGATGGATGACCAACAAGATAAGGAATGTGCCTCGGAAGAGCAAGAAACAATCCTGATTAATGGGGTGAAAGAGGATGGTAAGGAATCTCATGATAGCAAGGGATCTGCCATCGGTTCCTCCCTGTCCTTTGCTCAGGGACCAGTC